AAGAAGAAGAAGAAGAAGAAGAAGAAGAAGAAGAAGAAGAAGAAGAAGAAGAAACAGAAGAAGAAATGAGATCGTTCAAAAGAACGACAAAAAGGTCAAGACAAAATAAAAAATAAAGAGCTCACAAATTAATCCTAGGATTCCCGCTCACAGGCCAGTACAGATAATCCTCGGAATAGACAGACAGACAGACACATAAAGTAGGCACGTACGTAGATCTCTAGTGAGCAAACCGCGAAGTGCGTGTGTGGCGTAGATCTTGTGTGTGAGTGTCTGAACCCCCGGGAGAGAGAGACACACAGGATGGGACACACTTAAGACTACCAAAGACACTTGACACATCCACACGACACAAACTTTCAGTGAGTAGCGAGGGTGTCGGACACACAAGTAGATCTTGCTGTCAGGTGTTTGTGTTTAGCTTTAGTAAGAGTTTGTGTTTGGCTTTAGTAAGAGTTTGACGACACTTGGTTACCAAACAATAGATCTAGATAACTAGCAGTGAAGTGTTTTGGTTTAGCTTTAGTTTAGTTTTAGAAAGGTTTTACGGGACCCCCCGGGGCGGTGCCACTGACTGAAGTGTCTTTAGTTAGGCCATTCCCAAAGGGGGGACATTTCTCGTTCTAATGCACAGTAGAATTGTAAATGGGCTGATCTAACCATGTCATGCTCATTACTGTGCCTGATCTACAACAGGGAACTGCTGCTTTTTCTTTCCTAATCCTATCGTCATTTTTACCTCTACTTCTTTTATATGTTTGTCACTCTCTCGTGACCTGCTATTTCCGGGATGCCTTGATAGTCGAAGCAGACTTTGTGCTGTTGAAGCTAGAGAGGTGAGCAGAGTAAGGTCTGATTCCCTGTAAGGACTTCTCTGTTGACATCCACCCCTTGGCGCTCATAGTATGACCTTATGCAGTTGCGAGCGCCGTAAAACCTCTACTAAAACAAACAAGGTTTTACGGCGCTCGCAGCTTTTAGTCTTGGGGTTTTAAATTATGACAATTCAGATTTCTCTCTTGGGGCAGCGTATTTTTTTTCAATTATAATCGGCGGATGTGAAAGGATACTTTTCCCCGACACAGGTGGCTTTTCTTTCTTTTTATAATAACAATAGATAGCATTTGTATAGCGCAAATCCCCGCTCAACAGCAAGCTCTATGCGCTTCACAATCTATACTATTACCCCAG